TTTTTTCATTGGTTATTTATCTAGCTAAGACTTGAGCCCCTTCTTCTTTAGAATTCTCTAAAATTTTCCCTTTTTTGCTAAAAGCCCGGATGGACTTTCTCAGTCAAAGAAGTCAAAAAGATGAAAGTCAAGTCAAAAAGATGGAAGACGTGCCTTGTCCATATTTAACTCCCTGAGGTCTTGGATTTAGCTGAGCACAAACAGCTGTTCCCCACCAATTCCCTCTCCATTGTCTCCTTTTTTATCTTTCTCTTTCATTCAAATTATATGCCTTGGAACGGACCATTAATGATCTCACACAAGCTCACTGGAAAGAACACTTTAAGCTCAGTCCTGGCCAGCTCCCTGCAAGGTCCAGGCAGTTAGATCAAAATGCCTTTGCTACCAATGTCAAAATACTGCGGGCACAGCAAGAACAGTCAATCCTTTATGAACTAGCATGGGTGCAGTACAGATCCTAGTGGCCGATGTTTGTCAAACTTGTCACACAGATGGACATCTTTGGATTGTAGGCTCCTCTGAGATGAAATAGACTTTGATAAAGTCTCTCATTCTCCATGCTGTGCATGGGGTATTACTCCATGTACACAGTACAGCCAGTCAGTCCAGACTGCACATTCTGGTTACAGAAGAGAGGGAAGGAGCAGCAGCATATCATTCCCACTTCTGCCACTGAATAATCAAACTTAGCAAAAGCTGTATTTGTGGGGCAGGGTGCACTGGGAAAACAGAAAAAACTTGAAGAGCAGTATATGTGCAAGGAAAAAAGGGAAGGCTCAAGGGCTGGGGCCAATAAAAAGGAGAAATAAAAATAGCTAGAAGTCCATTAGGCAACTTAGGGATTGTCTTCTTTTTTAGATGAAAGATTTTTTTGTCTCTCCCCCTTTTTCAGCTGTCTGTAAAGGCAATCAGAAATTCCCAATGTTTCTGCATGCATTTGTTCAGCCTGTAATTCCTGTTCCCTGTTTTCTGCGCCAAACGCTCAGAGGGAACCAGCACAGGTAATGCTCCCATAATTATTTTTATATTCTGCCTCAATTACTGGGATTGCCTCAATCCAGGCGGGCTTCCTGGACTAGTACCCTACTGTGCCTGAGTGAATAGGCCCTTGTAGAACCCGGTTTGGCCACCACTGAATCACAGCTAGTGAACAGAGTTGGGCCTGCCTTTGCTAGTTCCTCCAGTAACATGCCACTTTAACCACTCTGTACGTAGCTCAACACTGCACACCTGAGGAGCTTGTTCCACCACACACAAACACCTAAGCTTCTTTTCCATCCAAAGCAATGCCTGTATTTAAGAGCTATGAGACCTGACATAAAGATATATCCATCTTTCTCCATTCCCTGGCAACCTGCGTAAACCTCCCTGAACAGCTAAAAATTAACCAGATAGTATGGCTTATCTGAAACACCACAACAGAGATCTGAGCCTCCGCAAGGTAGCTGCTGCATAAAAATAAAACAGGGGCAGCTAATTCCTACCATAAGGAGCTTAAAAACCAAACAAAGAGTGAGCTGAAATTAGTCTCTTCTAGAGATGGAGATAATGGAAGTGGAGAGATTAATTGACTTAATTAGAAAGTCAAGAGCTGAAGCAATAATTAAACTGAAATCACCTGAGAACGCAGCAAGTTATTTAGCCTCAAGACCATTCCTCTTTTCTAAATTGCATGCAGCGTTTCTCCTCCCTGATTGGATGACCTCTGAAATTAATCAGCATTGATTTCAAACTGCTCTTTTAGGCATAAGCACTGCCTTTTACCCACTGCTGGCTGTAGTGCAGCTAATGGCTAGCTTGGTTTAGCAAGCTGTCAAGCTCTTGGGGAATGAGCATCTGCAGCTGGAATGCTTATCCTGCTGGATCTGCTCCAGGAAGCAAAACTGGACCACCACAAATAAAATGCTCCACACTGACTCATTTCAAAGGAAAAAATCTGTTTTCAAGGCATTGTCGGGGCTGCAGTATTTGTCACCTGGTGACAACTCCCACTTTGGGAAAGAGACATGTGAAATCTGTCAAGTCCCAGGAAGGAGCATTTTATTCACAAGTTAAGGTTAACGTTCAAGCTTCACTTTGATGGGCTGAAATAGGCAAAGAAACAGAACGAGCAGTAAGCCTAACTGCTTATCCTTCCCTGTGAGGGTCCCCTCCATCACTCCCATTAAGTCTCCCACCTTTTGCTTTCTGTAGCACAGGTCAAGCGTGTTTGGGTGTTCACAATAGGTGCTTTATGTGAACCAGGTGTACAGACCCATTACAGCCAAGAAGTCCTGAGGTTTGTCCATAGGAATTTATTTCAAGATCAAAACCTCAGAGCTTGTTATCTGTGGTACAAAATTTTCACACTTGATGGCTGTAGAGCAATACATACATAATAAAACACCCAAGACTGAATAACAACCCACCTGTAAGGCCGAAGCACAGCATGGCCACAGAATCACGGAAGCCTGTTGCCCATCCACTGCTATGGAATGGAATTTGACTCAGAGCAAGTAACTGTAGTTGGGTGTATTTTTGTTTTTTAAACTCCATATTTTTAAACTGTCTGTGACTCTTTTTTCAGAGGGGAAGTTATTTTGTGACATACCAAACCTTAGATTTTACAGTAACGGCCTCCGTTAGCAGTCAACTCAAATTTCACTCCAGGAGTGCTGCTTTATTAGCTGCCCCTACTGCACAGTATTTCTCTCACCCCTACGGCCTCCACGTCCAGTATTCTATCAAGGTAACAAAAATCAATCTTTGTTTCTGTCACTTGAGGCATCCAGAAGAAAGAAGGTGAGAGCACATAGGTTTGGGAAAGGGTTTGGGACTTTTTTCCTTTAGATAGTTAGATTTATGGCGAAGAGCCAAAGGACAAAGATCAAGTTAAGCAAATTTTCTATTAGCTGGGAATCAGAGAAAGGAGAAAAACACCCCTTGGGTTACAGTATTGCCTAAAACACCCAGGGCTTTTGTTCGTGCATTAAGGTGAGGTGTGCATATGGATACTGAGTATGGATACTAACAGCATGCATCTGTTAGTGTTAGATAGGACCCTCAACAACCCCCTGGAAGCTCTCACATCCCATGTTTGCATTCTGTCTGATAACTTCTGCAGGGTGTGCGATAGAGGATCCTGGAGCCAACTGTGTGCAGACTTCAGGGTATTTCCTCTCCCTGTTATTTTCTCCTGCAGCTTTACAACCAGTTGCAAGGAAAAATACTGTGAGTGCATGGGGATTTCAATGCTCAACTGTGGATCCCTTAGCGCTCAGATAAATCAAGGGGTTAGGCCGAGGTGCGCCTGCACGCTAGAAAAATGTGTTTGCTGGCCAAGAGGAGTTGCTATGCCTGGACTGATAGCAACAATCATTCTGCTCCAGTGCAGAGGGCAGGTCCTGTTCCTACTTTCTTTTTACCTTGGTCTAGTTCGGTCCCCCGGAATCGGCCCTCTGGGCGGGAATCCACCACCTGGAACCGCCGGGATCCCAGGTTCTCCACCATCTCCTCGAAGGTCTTCAGCAGGGCTTTGTCCAGCGTGGCCTTGAAGATCGCCGGTGCCGGCTGGCTGACCTCTGCCGTCACGGGGTGGCCCTCCCTCCCCCATTTCTTGAAGCCGCCGTTCAGCACAGAGACCTCTCTGTGCCCGAAGACCCGAAACATCCACCAGGCACGGGGGGCGTAGAAGGTGCCCAGCTTGTCCCCGTCGTACACCACCACGTGGGTGTCGTTGCTGATCCCCAGGTGCCCCACGTAGTCGGCGAAGTGGGCCTCGCTGGGCAGCATGAAGTCATAGGGGGAAGACTTGTCCCTGCACTCCTCAATGTCAAAAAACGATGCTCCGGGGATGTGGCTCTCCCTGAACTCCTGCCGGGCGTTTCGCTCCTGAGGGGGGTACCAAGAGGCATCCAACACCCGCAAGCTCGGCCCGACCCGCTGGGCCCGGACAGCCTCCGAGAGCCATTTGGCAGTGGCCTTGGGG